AGAGAGAGAGAGAGAGAGAGAGAGAGAGAGAGAGAGAGAGAGAGAGAGAGAGATCAGGAGGATGAAGCACTCCGCTCAATTTCCCAATTATGGTTTCTGCTCAAAAATTAAAGTCTTGGAGTATAATTGCTCTATCATATATCTTCTGGCTAACCTTGTTTTTCTTGTGTACTGTACTAACCTGTCTTGGCTCTCTTATAAGAGCTAAGTATTTCACTAAGGTCTTGCAATATTGAAAGAATCTATATTCTGAGAATTTGAAAACATGTCAGCCCACCTAAATTACATATTGATCAGGCTTAATTGCATGCCACCCATCAGTATTAGGTTTGAAAATTCATAAAAGAGAAATAATGTACTCTTTGTGGATGATTACTTCTGGGGCATTTAAATGAATTCCATCACTTAACCTGGGCTGAGACGGATTATTGAGCCTTGCCATGCAGCCGTTCAGACACCGATGCTGAAGAGCAGCTGTTTTCCAACTGTCAGAGAACAGCAGAGTGCAAACAATATAAATTTATATGGATTTTCTTTTAAGGAAAATAGCAAAGTAAAACATTAAAAGTAAACATTCATTTTTCAATTGCTCCCCGAGTCACCCTCCTCATTGTCTCCACATAGAAGCATTCATTTTTAATTCTTTTGGGATCCCAGGCACCCTTTTATTTCAAGTAGTAATTCACATCTTAATTAATATACAGTAATCAAAGAGATAAGCAACGATAAGTGCTTCTCAGCTTGGTTTTATTTGTTAAGGTTAATTTTTTATGTAAGTGTATAAAAGGATTTTAATGCTGACTTCTCTAGCTGATGAACCATTTAATTTTTGTAAAAAGGAAAAAAAATAACAAAGTCTTGTCTTAGCAGGGCAAGCTCTCCCTCACAGCCACCCAAAGCCACCTCCTGGTGAAGGTCATGTTGGCTGAGAACCTGGGTTCATCATTTGTTATCAGGGAGTTTGCTGCATTTGGAAATTATGTCTGTTGGTATTGGTTGTGTTTTGAGAAATTGTGCTTATGTATGTTTGTTCTTTACAGATTATCAATACGAGGTAAAAAGAACCAGTTAAAAATCATTGGGCTTACTTGGGTAATAGTTTAAGAGCTACATTTTATTTAGACACTTTGGGGTAATAAATATCCGTGAGCATAATTAACTGTCTTTATCTCGTCCAGGCTGGAGATGCCATCTGCAGCCGCCCCACATTGTCTTCCCCTAATGTTAATGTCCACCTTTGCCTTGAGTGCAATCTCCCTCCTTGAGGCATGTCTCCAAATGGTGGCTTTTTACATGTCGCCACTGAGCAGACACATCATGTTGTCTCATCTCTGGTGCACACACAGAGTCGTGTTTTATTCCTCACAAAGCAAAGGTAACACTGGGTGAATGAACCCGCCTGACAGCTATGACTTCATTGTTTATTTGACTGAAATCACTGTGGCAGAAGGTAGAAAACAACAGTTCCCAGGAGGCAAGGGGCAGGTTATATCTTGAGTCCTCAATAAGGTCACAGTTGCATCAAGACCCTCCAGGAGACTCAGTTTTCATGCCTAAGATAACTCAGCACTCAGGACCTTATGCTGATCCTTGTCTTTGTGCCTTTGGTGAATGATAAACATTGGCACCCAGAGGTGCTGGCTGCATATATGACCCTGAAAGTTTTAAGGACCCTGTAACCCATAGTACATAAGCGTGTGTATATTGTTGTTGTATTGCTATGATGTCCTTAGAAGAAAATCAAGGGAAGGCAGATGAACACCAGAGGGTGGATCGTTTGCCAGGCTGTAGTCACGGTCACTTCCAACTATGGCCACTTTCCTCATATGGAAGTCAGATGTCAGCCATTCATCAGATGAAAACATGTAGTCACTTAAAAATCTTCCTCAACAGGGGAGCCAGGGAGATGATTCAGGGGTAAAACGGCTTACCAGGCAAGCCTGACCAGTTCAATCTCCAGAACTCATGTAAAACATCCTGATTCAGTAGAATGTTTTACATCTGTAATTCCAGCACCCCTAGAGTAAAGGGAGGTGGAGACAGGAGAATCTTTTAGATGCTTGCTTAGAGTATGCAGTGTGGCAGAAACAAGAGAGACCCTGCCTCAAAAACAAGGTAGGAAGAGAGAAACAATTCCCAAGAGCTGTCCTCTGTCCTCCTCACATGTCACACACACACACACACACACACACACACACACACACACACACACACACACACACACACCACTGAAAAATTACCCAATGCTGTATTAAAGGAAATCATCCTTGCATTGAAGACTTCCTGTCCATTATCTAACAACTCATGTTGAACTCACACCTTTCTACTATAATCACCCACTGGGTAAATTTCCTCCTGAGATTACCTATGAAGTTCAGGAAGCCCCAGTGAAGGAAACCTCTGACTTTTCTTTTTAATCTTTTCCCCATAGGTTACCATTGTGAGTCAGTGGAGAACTGATCTTACTTTTGACCACCCAAAGTTAAATGTGCAACAGACCTTTCATGTAAATGTGAGGCTCACCCATCACGGGTAGAATATGAGGTGGCAATGTCATCACAATGAGCAGAGAGGTGGCACCGGGGAGGGACACAATCAAGCACTCTGAAGACCTAGGAGATGTTAGGGTGGCACTTAAGGAATTTCTACTTCAGGTGAATGACACATAAATAAAATAGAACCTGGATGTAAGGATGTATTCTACAAATTGTTGGTGACCTCAGTAAACAGAATGCAGAGTGAATGACATTCTGCTTCCCAAGGGGTTCAGATGACTGGGTATCAGTCCATAGGGATCATGCTCTGATAGGAAGCTGTCCTGGTTGTTAAGATGCTGGAGACAGAAACAGTGATGGAGATGGTGATTGCAGTGCTAACAATTTTGGAGCTTCAGGTAATGCTGGAAGCTTATGATGAACTGGATGATGATGAGGATGATGTTAGATGCAGTGATGGTGGTAGGGGGTGGTCACAGTGGTGGTGCTAACAATGAGGACAGTGGCTCTGGCAGCAGTGGTGTCAGTGGTGGTGGTGATGGAGCTGGTAAAGATAGTGATTATGGATGTAATGATGCTGGTGCTGTGGTGATGTCAGAGGTAATGGGGACGGAAGCTGTGTTGGTGATGAGGGTAATGGTAAATAGCTGTGGTTGATCCTGAACTGACTTTTAGGGAAAAGTAATGTGAAGAACTTAAGCATCCAGGAGTAGGACCAGCATGTTAAAATAGTAAATGGAGTCTCATAAGAAAAAAAAAAACAAACTTTGATATAGAGAGACAGCCAACCTCCAAAAGAATCATTGACATCAAAACAGCTTGTAATGTTTATTTTTTAATTTTTCTAATCATCTTACAAAAGTGTAAAACATTCCATTTGTTGAGAGTCCACAGAAGAGTGAAAATAGTATGTGTCTTGATGCAAGGAGAACAGTTCAAAGTTGGACCAAAGTAGCCCTGTGACTGCAACCAAGCTCCTTGGCCAGCCTCACCCAGCTCTGCATTCCTCATTTGTAAAGTGTCAGCCTCAATAGTTTGGCCAAATTTATTTTCTGGGATAAAAGAAAAAAGATACAAATCATATCACCAGTGTTGTTCTTCATAAAAACTCCTCCATCAAATAAATCGGCTGTCAAATGTATCATGGACTGTGGATTTGGGGTTGAGTATAGAAGTCATTGTATTGTAGAGCTCTAAAAATTATGCTTATAACAACAGGATAGGGGCATCAAACGGAGGGTGATATCTCACCTTGCGAAGTCCTATTTTCTGTATCGGACATGGTGCCTCTTAAAACTCACTGCTACCCTCAGAAGCTCCATCAAAGGCAAGAGTAGCTCATCAGTGAGGGAGCTAAGTACCCTACTTGATAAAGTCATTGATGTTGCATGATAAAATAATACTCAAGCCGATGGGAGGAGTATGGTACACAACTTTTTCCACTGGTATTTAATTTTATTTTCCTTGACTTCTATTTCACATTTGATTAGGAAAAAAGGTGCTAATATGCAATTAGTATGGTTATTTAAATATATTCATTACAACATGCCAGTTAACGTCAGCTTTTTTTTGTATTATACATATTTTATTTAATAATGGCCTCTGGCATGCTGTAACAATTGCTGGTGAGAAGAGAGCCCCCAGTCAAGCTGCCTCCTGTACCTTCATCAGGGAATTCCTGAGATGCAGTGTTTATGAGTCGTCACCCTTGCTGGAGGTGGCCTTCCCATGATGCAGCTGTCTTTGAGTAACCCATGTTTCTGTAAGTAACTCAAATAAGCTTATCATCGGTTAACTAATCTTGATTTGGGTGGAATCATTTCTATCTGCCAAGGTGCCTACGTGGCACGACTGGACGTTTGTTCCTCCTCGGGGAAAGTAGCAGAAGAGGGAGGAGGCTCACCAGGAAATATTATGAGATCAAATGCCTGAGCTAGAAGACATTACAAAGCAGCACAGGAATGCCCAACCGAGTATGACTGTCTTCCACCACTTTGAACGGGCTAGGGAATGAGAGCTCAGATTGCCCCAGCCAATGTTACTGTTCCTTCTGGATGGGGACGGCAAGGCTAATGTGGGCAGAGAATAATTTCGTAAATGAACTGCATCCCAAGACAGACAGTGTTATTCTTTACAAGTAAGTCATGTTCTTTGCAGAAGTCACCAAACCAAGTGTTGCATGATTATAATAAAAAAAAATATTGAATTGTGATATGGTTGTGAAAGTTGATACAAGAGTGTTTGAGATTTTGTGAGTCAACATAAATGTGGTCAAAGGTTTGGAGTTCAGGGACATGCTCGATCTCCCAGCCACATGTTCTTATCCCCGTGTACTGACTATCTCTTCAGTGGGGAGTCTGCAGTTTCAATTCTTTATCTAGTATGCAAATCATTTGTTCCTTAGTACCTGGGGCTTTGCAAAGCCTGCAGATGTCCCCGTGTGAGTTATAGTGACAAAATTACAGCTTGTCCAAAGCAGATCTCCCCATTGTCTCTCATGAGTTCTGAGATGCCTAATGCCTTCAGTATGCCATGAGCCCCTCTTCTGGGTGGCTTGCTTTGGGGATGTTCTCTGCCCTCTAACCAGTGACCACACAGCACCAGCCCCGAGTCTCTGACCACTGTCTGTTCCTGCACAGCCCACAATGGATGACCACTGCAAAACTTGAATGAAATAAACTAAAGGAAATAGCCTATTATTTATTTATAATTATAAATGCACTTAATTATTAAAATACCATTTAATAGAAGTCAATTTGAGTTAACTTGGCTAATTTAAAAATCACCACAGATTGTGTATACTTCTGTTGTGGTTTGGATCTGAAATGCTCCACCAGGGTCCCTGTGTGGGAAGGCTTGTCCCTAGGGTACTGCAATGCTCAAAGTGGAGCCTCTGTGAAGACTGGATCCATATATGGATATATAATCCATATATGGATGCAAAATTGAATGGAAAATGGAGGACATGGAGCCTAACTTGAGAAAGTAGGTCAGTAGGGGCTTTAGTCTTCTCACAGCCCCTTCCTCTCTTGACTTCTGTCTCCCAGCCATCATGAGATCAGCCTCTTCACTCTGGTATATGCTCCAAGGTCAGCAGTCTCGCCAGGCATAGACCCAGAACCAATGGAGCCAAGCGAGTCCAAAAACTGGCAGTTCTGAACCCATCATTCATAACAAATCCTTCCACTTTTACAGAGCTCCTCTCAGATGTTTGGGACAGAAATGGAAATGTGACTCACCTGGCCTCTTCTGGATTCCATAGTGCTCCACAATACCATATGTGAGAGTCTCCAGCCCCGATAGGTTAGAGTGTGACCTTGCTTAGACATGAGGTCCTCAGAAAGAGAGGGGGTGCATATAAACGGAGTCGTTGCACTAGGTTGCTGTCCCTGCTGCTTCCACAGAAGAGGGGACAAACCAGAGACAACCAGAGACTGAATGACCCAAAGGATGGGAGTGAGGGAAACATCAAAGAAGGTAGTAACTGTAGCAAAGGCAGCTGGGTGAGTCCTCCTCCAAAGAGACCTTCGGAACTCTCCGGAGCTCCCCAAACCATAGAGTTTCTTCCTCATAACAAGGCATGCCCTGCTTTGTGATATGAACAGACTGCCCACATTTAGTAAGACATGCAGAACACTGGAAATCAGAAGTGGAAAAGTGTGAACAAATATCACGGCTCCAGAGCCTGAGCATTCTGCAGCTTTCTAGGGAAGCTTTTTCGACTTTTATAGACACAGGGTCTCTTCAAATACTGTGAGCATTCCATAATCTGTCTGAAAAGTCTAAGTTGTTCTTTAACTTTGTTTTGCAGAGTATATTTAAGGTGTGTGTGTGTAATGCATAGCTGTTCCCGCTTTGACCTGGAAGTACTACCCCCAGTGAGGCTTCCATTAACTGTCACGCCTACATATGGCCTGTCCTGGAGGTGGGGTCAAGACAGGAGCCCTTAAGACCCAAGATCCAGATGTGCTGGTTCTCTTGGTTCCTGGTGACCCTGGATGCTGAATGGTAGACCGAGCAGAGTTCTCCAGAGAACACTGCTGGACTGTACTTCACCTCTCCTGGATCCTGTAATCTATCCCTTTACTTGTTGTAAGTTACCCACAAATTAATCTCCCTTTTAGCTACGTGGAGTTGCCTTAATAAATCCCCATTAGGTGTGTGTGTGTGTGTGTGTGTGTGTGTGTGTGTGTGTGTGTGTGTGTGTGTTATATGTGTAAATCTGAATCTCTGGGGGTACACACACACACACACACACACACACACACACACACACACACACACACACACACACACATCCCTCTTATTTACTCCCCTACAATTTTCTTTAGAGATCTATTGATTCTGGCCACTTATTCCCACTTATATTTCAGCGTCGGGATTTATCAGCTTTGGTCTCAAAGGTGCATTTGTTCAGCCTACATAAAAATCTCCTGGCTTTGTCAAGACACTTTAGGACTGTTCAGGAAAGAGAAAGTACCTATGGGCTGGGTGTGATTGTTCCATAGCATGGACAGATTTGTTTGCTTTCAGTTTGGGAACATCTGTGTTCTGTGATTCACAAATGTTTGTTTCCTGGATATCTGGTGTGACTGGGTGACATACCTCACTTATGTTTCTCCAAGGCCCCACATAATGTGGCTGCAGGGTCATGACCCCAGGTTAGTCTGTGTGCATGTGAAGAGTACTGTGTTTCCAAAGTATAGCCTGGTCCTCTCTGCTGGGTCCCCTGTGCATGCATCTGTAGAGAACCCCGCCATCTGTCCCAGCTACCCTGTCACAGGCCAGACCACACTGGACAGAGAAGAATTGCACTCACCGATCCTTGCCCTGCCTTATGCAGCTGTAGATCCCTCCGTTTCTGCTGAACAAACCTCTGTCTGCTTTACACCTCCCAGAACTTCCTCCTCCTCCTCCTGCTTTAACTACTGGATATTTCTTGAGTCCACTTAAGTCACATTTGAGGCGGATCTGACTCTGTGTATGCAAAAGTCTATAGATACTATTGGAAGACAGAGCAATAAAGAATTTAGCAACTTTAAAAACATATTCAGTATTCAAAACCAAGCAGCCTATTTGTACATCATACATGGATTTCTGATAAAAAACAGGAGTACACGATATGATGTGTGTGCATGTGTGTGTGTGTATGTGTGGGTGGGTGTGAGTGTGTGTGTATTTGTGTGGTGTGTGAATGTGTGGTGTGTGTTTGCATGTATGGTGTGGTGTATGTATGTGTATGGTGTGGTATATATGTGTGTGTGTCTATGTCTGTATGTATATGTCTGTGGGCTGTGTGTGTCTGTGTGTGTGTGTGTTACTGGAGTCTCAGTCCACAGCCTTATGCACACAAAGCAAGTGTTCCAGCACTAAGCAAACCAAGCACTTCACTTTCTTTTTATTTTGAGGCAGTCTCCATGAGTTTCCCTGGCTAGTCTTGAACTTGTAATCTTCCTTTTCTTTACTTGAGTTCTGGGATCCTGGGCCTGGGTGGAACATGAACTTTAAAGTGTGGCTATTGCTATTACTCAACCTTTGAAAAATCTCGTGTGGAAAAAAGACTGGGGAGACTTGGTGTGATTAACTTCATTTGGGGATGCACAGATGTGAGATGTAGCTTGGGAACTGAGCGGGTGCTCCTATACATTGATCCACAGCTTCTGCAGTGACTATTCCAGCGAGAGCCGACCGGAGAAACAGCTCGGTGCGGGATAAAGAAGCATCGATTCCCCCTCCCGAGGACAGACAAAGCGCTCTCGATGACAGAGTGGTCTTGTTATATTCTAAGCACATTAGATGGAATGGGGTGTAAACGCCTTTGCAGGAGAATTAAACTTCTCGCTCACCGCTCACATGGCTCTCACACTCTCTGGTGATGGTTTTGGTAGCCAGGCGACATCTGTTTAATGGGGCCCATTCTGCATCCAGCTGGCACACTGTGCCTGTGAGCGAGTGAAATCTATCTTGGTGAGGAAGGGAAGCTCACAATGAACTTCTCTGCCTTTTGTTCATTCTTGCTCAGAAACTGCCTCAGTTAGGGTCTATCTCGGTGAATGACTCATGATTCATGGGTAAGAATGCTCTGGAACCCTACATATCAGTAGACTTCTCTGTTTGGGCACAACAACTTTGAAGCTTAAGAATTAGTTCATAGGCTGTAAATTTGTCCCAAAGAGATAAAGCTATAATTACTAACAATAAACTTTTCCTGGCTTTTTGCTAAAATTCAGTGGTGGCCAAAGAAATAAGTCTGAGAGCATCGTGGCATGGGAAAGAAATGTGAGAGATCTTCTAGAACCCTATACCACCACACTGGGTGAGTTTTGATTTCCTCCCACTCAGCCAATGATCGGAAGGATCTCCTGTCCTAATCACTAATGATGATGGCCAGCACACAAGGACCCAGGCAATTGAATATGGTAACCTTGGTGAGTCACGGTAACTCAGGTTAGGATGGCAGCTCTTCCCCATGAGACCCACTAGGGCTGTTTCTGAAGTGGCAGGAGACAGGAGAACATGGGAGAAGGGGACAGAAGGATGTTCTGTCCCCTGGCTCCTCTAAAGGGGCTGGGTAGGCTGGTGGAAGATTGTACACACTATCCAAGAAGTGAGAACATATGGGTGATGGGTCACCGGCTGGGTGAGAGTGCATCTCATGGGAACAACTGAGCTTAGGGCACTGGGAGCTGTGAGACTCAGGAATGTCAAAACAGTGCCCAGAATATCATGTTTTGTGACACAAATACAGCCATTCCTGCCTTTGGGTTCCATAAGGGCATGGTCTACAGATATTCACACATAGGTGCTCCATTCCTCTCTCACATAACCTGGATTCTCCCTCCCCCACCACGCTCAGATTCCAGCTCTGCCCAGGAGTCCTTGGAGAAACCATTTCCAAAATACTTATTGAAATCAGTGAAGAAGAAAAAAAAAAAGATGTCCGATGTCCATGGGGAACTGGGCCTTGTGAACTGATTCCTGTAGTGTGAAGCTGTTTGTAAAACAGGAAAATGGGTCCACTGCTCTTCTCTCCAGGGGACTATCAATAGTTCATTTCATTCATAACTCTGAAAGCCACTCACCTGAGTTGGACATGGTGGCTCATTCCTGTGATCCCAGTGCTTGGGAGGTTTATGACTGCCGCAAGTCAGCCAGGGCTAGAGACTAAGACCCTACCTCAAAAACAACAACAGCAACAACAACAACAAAATTGTTCACCTAACTGCACAATTCACATTAGTTCTGCTGGGCTCAATGGCATGTTATTCTTCTGAGTTCTAGCTTTGCTATGGTGTATTGGACCCAACAGGCCTCACTGTAGATTCTGGATGGTCTGAATTGAATCTATCACCAAACTCCCACAAGTTAGTACCATTGAGTTATGGATAAAAGCATGGCTATAAGGTATTTTTTAGAATTGAATAATAAAAATGAATGTAAGTGCCCAGTGCATATCTATTCATAGCAACTGCCATTAATTTTTAGTAAGACAAATGATGCCACTTGAATTTTATTGTATTTACTGTGCATTAAAGTCAATTATCTAGTTAGCAAACTTAAAAATAGCATTATAAAACTTATCCTCCTTTTATATTTATTGATCTTCTGTACAAAACCCCTTGGTGACAAACTTGAATTTCACTGTGACCTACTGCTCTGCTGGAGTGATCACAATGTCAAGCCTAATGCAGTGAGCAACACACTTTAGGCTCCTCTGATGCCCACATGCCAGTTTCATGGCATGGCATTATTTGGTGAAAGGAACAAGCCATTCTTTCTTTGCCTAGGCAGGTCATAGACATGGACAGATTTCAGTTAGTAATTCTGTGACATCCTGGACATCTCTGGACCACTTGAAGCTTCACACACTCATCTCCAATAAGAACTCACTATTCCTCTGTGCGTGGTGGGGGCGAGGGGGGGGGTCATCCAAATTGTGTGAGTATATGGTGTGGTTATTTTCAAAGATTCACTACTAAGGGATTCAGAGATATGGGCTTATTTAATAATACCTCAGAGGAGGATGGGCTGTGGGGTAGATAATGCTTTTGGGATTTCTCCCTCTACCTGATTCCAAAGGTGGAACTTGAGGAAGCTAACAAGGAAGACAGTAACAATGCCAGCCACAAATTCCAGTCGCTGGTTGCATCCTCTCCAGGTAGTTATGTAGAGTGATCAGTGTTTACTTAGATATAGAATTTAAGAAATATTTGATGGTATATGTACCAAATACACCTTTCTTATATTTGCTCTCAAACATTCTTTTTTAACATAAAATACATATTTTATGACAAGTAAAACCTCTGTCTTTAACTTTTACAACTCCACCCAATACAATAAGCACATAATTGCTGGATTATTTTTCTGCATTCATGTCCACTTTTGTTCAAATTACTTAGTGAAGGCCAATGAGCATTCTCTAGCACTTAATTTCCAAGATAAATTCTGTAAAGGAGGCCTCACTGAAGGACAAGGTTTTGTCTCCAAATGTGATGCCAACAGTAATGAACTTGGTGATCCTCCAAGGCCCTCTGTGAAAGCATCTTAAATTAATCTGCATTTTACCTTCATTTTTCCTGTAAGTCCTGAATGGATGGAATCATGTTTCCCAGGGACAGTACCGAGTGGTAAATGAGGAGCTCTGTCCCTCAGAGCCAAGTAACCCAACATCTCCCATCCCATCTCTTGCCTCAGTGTCCTGGTCTGTGAGAATAGGAATGTGTATGACCAAGGCATGGCCTTGCACAGCTTCTGGTCTCCATATTGTGGTCCTGTGTGTCCTTCATCACCTTCAGTAGAGAATCTTGAGAATCAGGGACTGTATGTTTTGGAGTTAGGTTAGTTTTAATCATTAACTTGAAATCACCTAATGTCATCTGAAAGGAAATACTTGACTGAGAAAAGGCCTAAATCAGACAGATCTGTGACCATGACTATGGGGAGATTGACTTTATTGTTATGTGATGTAGGGGGCACAGCCCACTGCAGGTGACACCATTCTTGGGCACACAGCCTGAGCTGTATAAGAAAACGAGGTAAGCCAAATCTAGTGAACAAGCAAGACAGAAAGCAGTGTTCCACCATGGTTTCTGCCTCAAGTTCCTCCTTGAGTTTCCACCCTGACTTCCCTCAGTCATGGACTGGGGCATGTAAGTGGAGTTAGCCCCTTCTTCCCTCAAGTTCCTTTTGCTCAGAATATTTCATCTCAGCAGCAGGATGAAGCTAGAACACTCACCCCGCCCCTCTGCAGTCACGTGGCTAGCCTTTATGTCGCCTGCTACAGAAAGCTAAGGTGCCGATTGTTTGCATGTTTCAGGCTGTTTCTAAGCTATGTGTGTTCAGAGATAAAAAGAAAACATTTAGAAAAGCAGTTTCCATTGGGCCCATCATCACTCGTGGGAAGAACATGTCAGTTCACATTGCCATACGTCTTAGGCATCAGCCATTTTTAATTTCACAGAACTGACCTCACTCACAATTATTAAAGATGTTTATTTCTTGAGACCCTAGCAGAAGGAGTGTGTATGTGCGTGTGCGTGTGTGCGCGCGCGTGTGTGTGCATGTATAAGTCAGAGGTCAACTTGATCTTCAATCACTCTTCACCTAATTTTTGAGACAGAACAGAATCTTTGAACACTGAACCCACAACTTGCCAATTCAATAGCCATCTGGCCAGCAAGCCTCCAGGGTCCATCTGTCTGTCTTCCCAGTGCTGGGATTCCAAGCACATGCTACTGCGCCCGGCTTTTTGGTATGGGTTCTGGGGACAAACTCCAGGTTCTCAAGCCTGCATAGCAAGCACATTACTGACTGAGCCGTCTCCTGTGAGAGCGTTTTTAAAGCTGTTTGGAGATAGACCACTAACACGAGATTAGCAAGGCAAATAGACATTAAAGTGGAAATAGCAAAGAAAAAAATCAAATGGGATTAGAAATATTTCAAAATATTGTTTCTTTGGCCAACTCTGAGCATTTCATCTGTAATGTGAGACATTGCTCTTTTGTAAAAATAATGAATGAATGAACCAGGTATCAAAATGAATGCAGCGGGATCCAGGGGTATACACAGGTGGGGCCGGACACTGTCTGTAATTTCCAGTGGGATCCAGGTGTGTCCAGAGGTAGGGCCAGACACTGTAACTTCCAGTGGGATCCAGGGGTGTACAGAGGTGGGGCCAGACACTGTCACTTCCAGAAGCTGAAGTGTGAACAAAGATGAAGGAAGTATTTGGGGTCAGACACCAACCAGGTACATGGTGGTTGATTAGCTAATGTTGAACAAGATGTATAAAGAGGCATAGGAATATAAAGTCTTTAAAATGGGGGGAATTAATGAGCTTGCTTGTGAATTTCGATGGGTAAAACAATGCTTGGCCCTGCTTATCACTGGCCAAGAATAGTTAAATCATGTGGAGTAACATTAAATAACAGGTCCTGTAGCTGGTCCTCCCAGATTATGATGCAAGGGCACATTTGGCCTAAACCTGAAGTCTGGTTCAGGAATTTCTGTTTGGGATTCTGTTTTAAGTCATGACATTGGTGTGTGTGGAGGCCAGAGGTCAACCTTGCACGTCACCCTTAGGAAGTGTACCCGGTTTCATGGGACAGGGTCTTTCACTGGGCTGAGAGGCAATGCTCGCCAATTAGGCTAGGCTTCCTGGCCTGTGAGCCCTAAAAGTCCTCCTGTCTCTACTTCTACAGCACTGGTATTATAAGTAAAGGCTATAATATGTTTTTCATGTTTTCTTCTGCCATGGTTTAGGAAATGGTCCTGGTACCTCCTCCTCCTTGCTGTTCACGTTTGCAATCCATCCCTGATGTGGCTGGTGCTCAGTTCAAGAAGGGGAAAATCTGAAATGTACAATATAGTATTTCATGACAAGTGCCACGGTGGGTCCGGTGTTAAATAGAACCTCCTACTGTAAAGTGTTAAGTCTTCATGTGGCTGTGAGAGGAAATCACACAATAAGAAGAACTCCAAGAGAAGACAAGGAATGGGGAAGGTAGAAAGCAAAGTTCATGCAACAAATTCTGTGTGTCACGTACATTAAACATGTACAAATACAGTCTACTGGAGTCTTACAGAGAGCTGAAAAGGCCGAGATGATTTCTAAGGCAAACAGAAGAGTTCCATTATTGAACTTGGAGGACCCACATTTGACCACAGTCTTGGTGTCATGGTCTGAATGTCGTTACATCTTTGTTATATGTGCATACATGTTGACTTTTCTAAAGCCACTGAAATGAGAGTATGAAGATGAATATACAAGGATAGATAGAGAGATGGATGGTAGACAGAGGACAGTTAGCAAGCCAAACAAGTTTTATTTGTTTACAAAACATTAAAAGACATTAATCATCATTTCATCATCACATATCACCAAGTGATATACTTTTGATGATGCTTCACTGGGAGATTCTTTTCAAAGAACAGAATGGTATGACCAGTGAACCTTCTCTTGCCATCTGAAAATGGGGCAATTGCACCGTAGACTCTCAATGTCACGAGAAGAGGGGACATGGATAATTGATGGCAGTGTCTTTCTCTTCCCTGATTCACCACAAGTAACTTGAAGGCATTTGTTTTATAAATTAGCAGTTCAAAAATTCAAAGATAGCTCAGTGTTAGTGCTCTTGCCTAGAAGGCATGTCCTGAGCCTCATCCTCAGTACCAGCCCCAACACACAGATGTGAAATCTGGGGTTAGAGGGATCAAGAGAATTGCTCTTGAGTAAAAACAAGAGAGAGACATCCATCATTCCTCACACCACATGGAAGTCAAAGCCACATCTAAATTTCTCGGGCTGTACCTAACAAGACCCACTCCTTCAAAGATGGCTGCTCATTGAGTATGAAAACAAGAGAGGTCGATTTAAGGAGATCATTTATCTCTAAAGGCTGCTTCACCACTGCTAAAAGCTACAATAAAGTAATGAAGGCTGTGGGGACAGAGAGGGTAGAGGGGGTCAGCAGCACATGGAGGAGGAGGTGGCTGTCCTGGCACCGCATGGAGGGTGTGGACAGGCTGAGAGGCACAGCCAGAAATAGGAGGTGTGCAGAAACTCCCTCTGAGAGACGATGACAATGGGTGCATTTCAGAGGATAGGGTGCCCACCGAAGACAGGGATCTGCACCCTAAAAGTGTCACATTTTGACTTGGACACACCCAACAGAGCATATAAAGGAAAGGAAGATGGGCAGGTAAAGTGAACCCCTATAAGAGAGCAGAGGAACCTCACTGTCTCTTCCTTCATGTGTCTATTGTCAGGGTAGAATGTTTTCTGATGGATCCACACACCAACCACATGTAATCACACATGCACCCACACAGGCATGTATGCACACATAAGTGGACATGCATCTGCACATACACAACATATTCATAGGCACATGCAGTAGTCAATTTTTTCTCCTTTAGATAGACTTAGCTTTCTCTGAAAGATTAATGAAAGTGACAGAATCTGGATTTTGAAAGACAAGAAATCCCTCTTCTCAGTGACTCCTGTCTGCTACAGTGAAGACCTGTCTATGAATCAGTGGTCAATGTACATGTATGGAGCTGAAGCCACAGCAGGAGACACCAGTCAGATGTGTGTGAGCAGTTTCCAGACTGCAGGCCAGGGGAGCAAAGAGCTGAAGGGTGACCTATAGCCATCTTTTCTCTATATTACTCTTTCCCTTTCAAAACTGACAAAACTTGTCTCCTTGGGAAGTAAGTCTATGAAGGGTGACTTTGGACAGCTTAAGGAGAGATGCAAGAGTATCCAACAATAAATGTCACCTTTGGTTTCTTGGATGTGGTCTTTATACTCACACATGACTTACCAACCCTTGGAAGATAGTGTGCTAGGTTCTCCACAGTGTGTCTACCTGCTTTGCAGGAACAGAAAGAAGGAGGCTGATGGTGCAACCGCAACATCAATGCACATCCTAGAACTGGAGAACCACAGATCATCTGATTGGTCACTGTTACCATGTGATCGAGAGCAGGGAGCACAGTGGTTAGTAGAAACAATACCTTGGCGTTCACGACCTTTGAACAGATGGACTTTCACACACACACACACACACACACAAATTTTACACACATACATCACATACCATATGGATGCACAAGTATATCATACACATAATATCGCACACATCATACACACAGATATACAAATACACTGCACATATACTCCACACACATGTCAAATCTAAAGGCATACACATATGCATCACACATGCTTACTTCACACACACACACACACACACACACACACACACAGACACACACACAATCCTCTAGTGACATGACAGGTGTCCCTTCATTTTGAATAATTCACCACATGTATCAAAACGTTTACAATGCTGTGGGTCCTTTGACCCAAAAATTCTTCTTGGAGGACTACCATGCAATCAGGTATTTGAAAAATGGGCCCCTAATCCAGGCAGAAGGTTGCTGTCTACAACATGGTCCATAAGAGTCAAATACTGGCAAGGCAAGCCCTACATGTCTCCATGATTGTTCGCAAGATCGGGCCGCTATCAACCTGATGGCATGGGATGCCTGTGCCCTCAACACAGTCTTTGTGACTAATAAGTGAAATACATTGTGATTTAACATGTGCATATAGTTTCTCTTTGGTAATCATATATCTACTTTATATTCAAGAACACCCACAAAACATTTCCTACTTGAAGGCATCCAAGGAGCTATATAGCATGCATCAGCCTTGTGTATAACCCAGCACCTGACACCCACTAAGTCGATGGAAAATATCCTACTGTGTGCCAACTTAGATTCCTTGCACCTCTTCATCATTTGAGAGCTGAACAACTGACTCATCTCAGGAGACTTTCCCTGGGGTTGGAGAGTCCCTGGTACAAGAACATGGGCCTTCAGACCTGCCTCCCTCAGCCAGTCCATGTTCAGGAGACTGTCGTGTCAGAGAAGATGTGTACTCTGTCTCTGAGTCCCACAGACCTGGCCTGATGCCCTCCCTAGGAGAATGTGGGTGTTGCACACTCCAGAGCTGTGTTTTCTAATTGCAGAGACCATTTATATCGATTAGCTTAGGTAACAGACATTTGGCAGGTGCATATAAAGGAGTTGATTGGAGTTTCTTTGAGGGGAGATTATTTTTTATAAGCCATCATTTGCAAAAACAGAACACTGGAGTTTCTTTGGTCAATGGCAACCATTATAATTTCAAGCCCATGCAATTTGCTTCCAAATCTCATTACAGTGCCACGTGAAATGAGTGATCCGTGGAATGGATCATTTACTCACCTTGGAGCGGGACAGAAGCATGGCCGCACACATGTGTGGAATTTGAAAACCTCTTTCAGAATCAAATTTGCCTTTCAGAAATTGAAATCTCTTTAACTAAACTCATTTCATTTTTTTTTTTTTTTTTTTTTTTTTGGAAAGGGCAGCCATTCTGAGACAGTGCCAGCCAGTTCCAGATTTTCATAGCTCTGTTTTTCCATCCCAGCTTGTTTCCCAGAGTGAGCCCCCTGGAGAAATTGAGTGTGATTCTAAGCACCCTTGTGGCTGCCTTTATGATGGCATATGATAGAAAAGTTATTTTGTGTGTGTGTGTGTGTGTGTGTTTATGCACATAGGTGTTAAATTTGTGTGGATGACACACATGTTAAGTACAAATGAGTGTGCAAGAGGAGGCTGGGTATCTGCAGATCTCTTTCTTGGGTGCTCTCTGCCTTATTTTTTAAAACACGGTCTCTTCACTGCAGCTGTGGCTTGCTGTTCAGTATACTGGCTCCAGGGATCCTTCCTTGTCCACATTAGGGCACTGGGACTCGAGGCAGGCACTGCCGTACCCAGTTTTTACATGTGTTACAGTGTGGACCCGGGACTCGAGGCAGGCACTGCCGTACCAGTTTTTACATGTGTTACAGTGTGGACCCGGGACTCGAGGCGGGCACTGCCGTACCCAGTTTTTACATGTGTTACAGTGTGGACCCGGGACTCGAGGCAGGCACTGCCGGACCCCGTTTTTACACGTGTTACAGCGTGGACCCGGGTTCTCATGCTTGTGTGGCCAGTTTCTACCCTCTGTGCCTTCTCCACAGGTGTAGTTGGGCTTTTCTCCGTCTATTAGTTCCTTAGTGACTGTCATGGGGTCCATGCTGAGAAAGCTTCCCGAGTCCAGGCTCTGCCAGGCTGCATGGCTTCTTCCGCAGGCACCAGAGTATCTCTGGGTTCAGATGGGCGGGATTCACTCTCTAGTGTTGTTGTAGGGGCGGCTTCTGCTTCTGTGTGGGGAGACCTTGGGAAAATCACACCTGTAAGGGTTATGATAGTGCATAGGGCCTTGTGAATTTTAATAGCATTTTCTTGTCAGGAAGGACAGGAGAAAAGACATGGTATATTATTATAAAGAATATTTTTAGCTTTCCAGATGTGTCAAATAATGGTAGAAGTTGGCTATAGACATAGACAATTTTAAAGCTTTGTTAAATACATTAATTTCTGAAAATGTGGAGCTGGACCTATTTCTCTCTCTCTCTCTCTCTCTCTCTCTCTCTCTCTCTCTCTCTCTCTCTCTCTCTCTCTCTCTCTCTCCTGAATGCACACACACACACACACACACACATGCACATAGAAGGATAGGTTAGAAGAGGAACCTGAAGAGTGGAGGTGATGGATAGATAGGAAGAGGGAGAATTAAGTAAAGTATATTTATATTTGAAAATTTCTTAAGATACTTTAGGTTTTGTTTGATAATTTAAAATATTAATTGAGAAACAAACAAATTAGTGTATATGAATGTTTTGATTTAGATAGCTTTAGAGAATTTTAATTTCAGCTGTATTGGTAATATGAGAGGGGAAAGAAGCTCATCTTCTTTTCACCTCAAACACTCTTTGAGCTTTTAATTTACATAATAACTACACATTTGGGGTGCGGTGTGACATTTGCACACATGTAGACAATGTGTGAAGATCAGAATGAGGACATGAGTGTTTCTACCTCTCGATCTTTCCTTTGTATTTGAACCTCTGGAGTCACTCTTCCCATGAGTCAGGAGACAAGGGACAGCCATGGGCTGTGGCACACCAGAATTTTCTCCCCTCTGACCCTGTGGTCACCCCTTGGAAAAATAATCTCACTTCTGAGTCCAGTGAGTTTCTTCTGTCTTTTCTGCCTTGCAGCTCAGATATGAGTTTCTTCATCTGGACATCAGGGATGACATTGAGTCCTCACTAGACCTGGCTAATTTCTTGAACTAATTTGACATCAAGCCATTCTGAAAGAAGAAAACTAGAAAGAGGCCTCAAGTGCACTGCCCATGTTTGTATATGTTTACATGTGTGTTCTCCTGTGCATGCGGGACCTCCTTGCCCTCTGACAAACTCTGAAACAGTCCCCACTGCATGGGTTTCCACAGAGGAACACACAGGTTTTCATGGGAATCTTCTGGAGTTGGATGTCCCCAAGTCAGAAATGGGACCTGTCATTCACGTTCCAAATTTCAGGTACTCATGGCAGGAGATGTGGGCCTGCAGTGACAGCAAAGGCCGGGGCCCCAGAACCAAGCAGAGCAGGTGTTCCTGGTGAGAAGCGGGCCTAAGAAACCACTGTGCCTGTAACTTAAAGGGCTGGAGTCCCAACCACAGACCTTACTTTAAAACAAAATACTGTTGGAAATTAAATCGGGAGGTGTTCTGTGCTCCCTTATCTGTTTTTCTTGTAATTGCCCTCTTTTCCCTAGACAGGCAAATAGCCAGAGATAAGGATTTGCAAAGAAAGGATGCTTCCCCTTTATTTTTATTGATAACACCCTATATGCTTTATGTTTTAAATCGTACAAACTGTCCCACCCACATTTTACTCCCATAAATCCTGTTCAAGTGGTCTCCTCATTCACATCGCTTACTAAGGATGAAACTAAGACTCATGGATACTGACCCTTTTAATTCATATTCAAAATATACTGAATTCATGTGCATAAAATGGAAACACATAGTATTCTGTATATTCCTAGATGTGATAGTTTATTTGGAGATTTGGGGGTACAAATTCCTTCTGAATCATAAGGCCAAAGACAGGAAGACTTTAAAATAAATAAATTAAAAGAAATAGTTGTCTGCTCTCTATTTAACTTCATCAATAAACGTCTAAAGGGAAAGACCCATGAGCCTTATTAAGCATTTTAAATATAATATCAAAAATCCCATTCTGAAAGCTTCAAAAGCACATGACTGTAGAGCTCACATCTTCTTATCTGGGAAGCTATGCATAAGCAGTCATGTTTTAAACA